AGAGCTGGAGGAAAAGAGGTGGGAAGAGAGAGAGAGAAACATCTATGTGAGAGAGACACATCAACCGGTTGCCACCTACACAACCCCAATGGGGCTGGGGACAAACTGCAACCGAGGTACTGCCCTTAGTGGGAACTGAACCCGAGACTCTGGTCCGCGGGCCAACGCTCTAACTGCTGAGGTAAACTGGCCAGGGGATCATCCCGTATTCTGGAAGCAAAAATTATATGAATTCCAAACATTGTCCACATATTGTTACCATCAATCAAGCTTTGTACATCATGTAACCAACTAAATTTAGGACTTAACACTGAACACATGCAATAGATAACCGGTTAAAGAGTGCAGTTTTTCTTAGGCATAGTGCAGAATTTGGAATTTAACACACAAGATGTTTAGTGAGTCATCCAATAGAATCAGACTGAAAACACTGCACCCTTCCAAGCTTTACAGAAATAAAGAAAGAAAAACCATGCCAGCCAGTGTGGCAAAGTGGATTGAGCATCGTCCCATGGACTGAGAGGTCCTGATTGGATTCCCAGTCAATGCACATGCCTGGATTGCAGACTCCATCTCCAGTAGGGGGCGAGCTGGAGGCAGACAATTGATGTATCTCTCTTCTCTCACATCTGTTTCTATCTCTCTTTCCCTTCCTCTCTCTCTCTCTAAAAACATCAATAAAAACATATTTAAAAAGAGAAAAATTGCCCTGGCCAGTTTGGCTCAGCGGTTAGAGCGTCGGCCTGCGGTCTGGAGAGACCCGGGTTCGGTTCCCGCTAAGGGCACGTACTTCGGTTGCAGTTTGTCCCCGGCCCTGGTTGGTCGTGCGGGTGGCAGCCACTCGATGTGTCCCTTCACGTCGATGTTTCTGTCTGTCTCTCCCTTCCTCTCCCTCCCTCCCACTCTATCTGTACAAAAAATGGAAAAATATCCTCGGGTGAGGATTAAAAAAAAAAAAAAGAGAAAAATCAGTGGCAATAAACATTTATGTATACAGAAGTGGGCAAAAGTAGGTTTACAGTTGTGAATACACAAAACAGCGTGAAAAACTATAAACCTACTTTTGCCATCCCAATATTTATACAATAATAAATAAGGTAAAAGAAAAATGAAGAGGATCATCCCAAAAAAGTCATCATCAGACCCATAATTTATAAGAAACATAATATGCTGGAGACTCTGCATCTTTAAAGGAACTAATGTTGACCCTTGAACAACATGGTTTGAACGGTGCAGGTCTATCCACTTACATGCGAATTTTAAAAAATTAAATAGTATAAATGTATTTTCTCTTTCTTATAATTTCCTTAATAAGACTTTTTTTCTAGCTTACTTCATTGTAAGAATACAATATATAATACATATAGCATATAAAATATAGGTTAATTGACTGTTTATGTTATCAGTAAGACTTCTGGTCAACAGCAGGCTATTAGTAGTTTGGGGTAAGTCAAGTTATATGCAGATTTTCCACTACACGGGGATCAGCATCCCTAACCCCCACATTGTTCAAGGGTCAACTGTATACAGACAGCATTAAATAACAATCATAGAGCTAAAAAAATGTTTTTCTTTCAATTTTCTTCTTTCTCTGTATCAAGAATAAAGTTTCAGCCTGGCTGGTGCGACTCAGTGCATTAAGTGTCATCCTACAGACTGAGAAGTCCTGGTTTGATTCCCAGTCAGGGCTCATGCCATGGTTGCAGGCTCAATCCCCAGCAGGGGGCGTGCAGGAGGCAGTTGATCAATATTTCTCTCTCAAATCTATGTTTCTATCACTCTCTCCAGTCCTTGCTCTCTCTAAAAAAAAAAAAAAATTCAATAAAAACATATTAAAAAAATAATAAAGTCTCAGTTTGGTGGTAGTATGCCTTCAACACCTCACAAACATTTTCTAACTTCCTCTTTAAAAGAAAGTGGGCCTGGATTCTCTAGCTCTTGTAAACAATAGCATTTAGCTCAAATAACATTGTTTATATCAGTAGTTCTCAAACATTTGGTCTTGGATTTCCTTTACACTCTTAAAAATTATCCATGACTCCAAAGAGCTTATATTTACATGGATTTTATATATATCAATATTCTATGTTAACTTAACCTAAGAAAACTATTAAATATTTATCACTTGATTTAAAATAATAAATCCATTGCATGGTAACATACTTTCTTATGAAAAATATATTCTCAAAAAGAAAATATAAAAAGATAGAAAAATGGCACTGATTTGGGTTCTTTCAAATCCCCTTAATGCCAACAAACTGAACCAGACTGGAAAATAGAGATAGAAAATAGAAAACAGCTAAATTTTTATATTTGCTTCTGCATTCCAACATTTGAAATGTGTTGTTTAGTTGAAGTCTATGAAGAAAATCCAACTCCACTTGGAAAAGGGAGGAGTATTTTAATAGCCTTTTCAGATGCTAGTGTTTATTCTTTCTTTGCTACTACACCAAAACTCAACAAGAGGTAGTTTAAGTTAGTTGCATGTAAAATTTGAAACGGTATCAGTGAACTTCTTGTACCCCACAAACCTGTAAAAGAATGTACTATTTTGAAAACAGTTTTGATCTTGCAGATCTCCTGAAGAGGTCTCACAGAACCCTCTTCCCCTAACCCCCAGGGTTCCCTGTCCTAAATGTACAGAACCAGTGGTGTACACTGTACATTTTTAATCAGCTATAAGCCAAGGAATGTTGGTTTTCCATTCACAAATTAATAAACAGATTTTGAAAAGAAACTTTTAATTTAAATAAATATATTTCAAGAAATGTATGAAATAATATAAGGTAGGTAGTTACGGGGAAAAAAATGTGAGTTTGGAAAAAAATAAACCAGTGCATTCCTGCAAACCTATTGTCTACTCTATTTTATAAAAGAGGAAACTCCCTTAGCTCTTCTTTTTACCGGTTCCTCCTAATAGTGACATCTTGGCCTATATGTCAGCTCTTCAGCTCCCCAACTAACTGCCTTAAAGAGGCTTTATTATAGTTTTTCCAAATCAATTTTATTACATGGTTGGAATATTTTAATATCATGATTGATGCCATAAAACAATTCTACATCAGTAACGAGGAAATACATCAATTGGAGGTTACCGACAACAATCACAAAAACCACTAATTGGATTATATGGGTCACTTTCTACTTGATGAGGCATTAAGAGTATTAGAAAACTAAGTGTAAACCATCTACTTTTATTCTTTCAAAAAAATTTTTTTTTCTTTATTAATATTAGTAGAGAGAGAGAAAGGGAGAAGAAGAGAGAGCTAGAAACATTGATGAGAGAGAACATCCATTGGCTGTTTCCTGCATGCCTCCCCCTGGGGATCAGGCCCACAACCTGGGCATATGCCCTGACCCGGAATCAAACTGGCGACCTCTAGGTGCATGGGTCAATGCTAAACCACTGAGCCACACCGGCCGGGCTCTACTTTTATTCTTAACGGGGTACTTACAATACAATGATTTGGTTTATTTAATCTAAAGGTTGAGCCCTGGCTAGTTTGGCTCAGAGGTTAGAGCATTGGCCTGCGGTCTGGAGAGACCCGGGTTCAGTTCCCACTAAGGGCAAGTACCTCGGTTGCAGTTTGTCCCTGGCCCTGGTTGGGTCGTGTGGGTGGCAACCACTCGATGTGTCTCTTTCACGTGGATGTTTCTCTCTCTCTCTCTTTCCCTCCCTCCCTCCCTCCCTCCCACTCTATCTGAACAAAATATCAAAAAATGTCCTCAGGTGAGGATTAAAAAAATATATATATATGTATATATGTAAAGGTTGATCATTGGTCAGGACATAGACATTTTGTTAACTGAAAATAAATTCAAACAAAGCAAACAGTACATAGTACAATCATAGATTATCATTAGACCCCATGGGACACCAGATATATTACATTACCATTCTGGGTCAGCTTCCTCACATGTAAAGTGAAAGGTGTCATTTAAGTGATATCTGTTCCAAATCTGAAATTTTAATAACTACACAATCTAACATCCTAGGTAAGGCTTTAAAAACTATTTTGTAAATTGACAAAATTTAAACCTTTGAATGCCTTAAAATTATTATTTATAGGTAAATTCGTTTTCAGAAAGTGTTTGTGTGTGAAATATCAAATTTATCCATATACAAATTAAAATATTTGTAAATTTAAAGTCAATATACTTATAGTTTTTTAGGATATTAAACATTTGCTCCAGTATTAAAACTGGATCTTACTTATGACATTTTTTTTCTTTTGCTGCACTGGTTACCAGTTTTCCATGCATGTGAAAACACTGTTTTAAAATACTTTGTGACATAAAAGAAGAATGCTAATTGTTTCTAATTCATGAGGAGTATGACACAGATAGAACCATACAAAACTGTCACTTTTCTAGGTCAAAAATGGTGGAATGTAGGAATGTACCGTCCAATTACTTATGTGGCAGATTAAAGGCCACTACTGAGAAACTGCTGGTAAGAAAGTACTTTTCTTCTTTTATATTTCATAAAATAACCATAAGGTATATCTGCCAATAATATTAATCCACTCAAATAAATATTGCTTTCCTATTAAGTGTCAAGATTGTACAAAGAACTCTAGGACTTACAAATGCTTCTAAATAGGAATCCTGCCCTTAAGAAGTTTGCCTTCTAATAACGAAAATGAAACAGAACACAGCATATAGAGTAGAAAGCGAAAAGTATTACAACATATTGGGGTTGAATACAAGATTATTCCCTCTTCAGAGTTTGCCCTTTGTGGCAAGGTAAAGCGATTTGGAGGTGAGGGTCCTAATTTATCATTAAAAATTGTAAATAAAAGGGGGCAACTACTTGGTAGTTTAAATTCTCCCAAAGGTACCACAGGCTTTTAAGAGTCATGTTCACATCTCTCACTGAGGCAGGCACCCGACAGTGGGAGCGGAGAGCGGGCCACGCCAGGTCACAGAGATGTGCCTGGCTAGGTCACCGGGCAGCCCGTCTCCGGCTGCGGGGGAGGCACCTCGAGGCTTCGCCTCACCTGACAGTCCTGACGACGAAGTACACCAGCACCGCGCTGCTCACCACCATCAACACGGTCAGGGCCCGCTGGGTCATGGGCTTGTCGCCAGAGTCCGGGCTCACAGCGAGGCCACCACCCACTGAGCCTTCTTCCCCCGCCTTCCCTGCTGGGTCATCCGCCGCAAGCGCCGCCCCGGGGTTGCTGCCATTGCCACCCTCAGCGCCCCGCGGGCCCGGGGACTGGGCGGCGGTGGGCCCAGGCGGAAGTGGGGGCAGGGTCCGCGGTCCTCCGTCGAGAGGTCGGGAGTCCGGAGCGGCCTCGGCCGCCTGCAGCAGTACCGACAAGGGCCCTCTTAACCCTGGCAGGAGTAGCAGCAGCAGGAGCGCGGAGGCGACAAGGCGGCTGAGGCAGCAGCTGCAGTGCAGGGCCTTCATCGTCCCCGGACAGCTCTCACCACGCCGGAGCCGCCGGGACCGCCGCCCTGGCTCCGGGAGGGAACATGGGCGCAAGGAGAACGGGGAAGAAGTGCCCAAATCCGGGGCAGAGACCCGGCCACGGCAGGTGGCACAGACGACAGCAGTTGCAGCAGCGGCAGAGGCCGGGAAACCGGAAGTTCGTACATCTCAGCAGCCACTGCTACCACGGACGCTTTTGGTTGCTAACCTGTAGGGGCAGGCGCGCCCGGTGACGTCAGGTGCGCGATGCCGTTTGCGCACGTGCCCACCAGGACAGGGGCGAGCCCTGTCGATAGGTTATCAGTGAAAAGGTAAGCAGAAGAAGCGTAGCGCCAAGTGTTCAGCAATCCTTGGCCTAAGAAAACCGTGAAAGATTGCGAGCTCATTATTTGAGGTCCTTGGTGTCGAGCTTCAGAAACAGCCAATCAATGACTAGGACGAGCTTGACGTTCTCAGCTCAGGTACACATTTTAGACAAGTTTCTTCCTGCCTCAAGGTCCTGACCTTCCTTTCCTGAGAGCATTTACAGTAGAAAACTTGTCATTGTAAATTAATTCTCTGCCCTTTTGAGATACAAGTGTTTTTAAAAGCTTCGTTAGTTCTGCAACCCAGGACTGTCTTCAAGACAGGGGAGCCATCCTTTTGAAATGTAATGAGCGAAGAATAAAAGACCCCTATCTTCCAGTCCCTGTGGAAAGGTAGGAGCCTCACAGCCAGGCACCTTGTTCCAAGTTGTAGAAAGAAACTCCTGTCGTAGAAATAAGAGCGAGTTAACTTTTCCTTTGAATAAGGCCAATTTGTAAACACAAATGCACCCAATGATGCGCCCTACTTCAACACAAAATCTCTAAGTTTGCTCTTTGTTTCTTTCTGGGTAGTTGAACTCAGAGTTCTGTCCTCTATTAGGATTACCTTGCATAATACAATACACTACAATAATACAATACAATACAAAAGTTTAACTTTGACATCACTAACATGAAATTTTGTCTTGAGCAGATACTGACAGCAACAATAAACTTGACCAGAAGCCCAAGTTAATATTTGTTCTTTTTTAAAAAACTTACACACTCAACAAATTGTTTTCGAATTTCTACTTGCTTAGTACTGTGCCAAATTATGAGTATTGGAGAGAAGACAAATATGATCCTATCCTTGCTCTCATAGCACTTATGTTCAAATGGAGATAACAAAATAAATTGGACTCATTTTGAATGCTGAAGTGTAGTATAAATGATGAGAATGTGATCTACAGTAAAAATTTTGTAAAGGACTGTTGTAGGTAGTAGAGTGGACAGGATAGTGTCTAGCTGCTTGGGGATAACGGATTAATGTAGTTGCTCCTGCCTGATAGAATTGCAGGTACTAGGCATCTTAATGCTGGATTCCAGTGTGAGGAAGACCATTGCTGACACACCCTAATTTTAGCTTCCAGCTTGGCATTTATCATCAATAAAGTGGCTCTGGATTTCTTATCTCCCTTATTCAAAGCCTTACTAAGAGCTACATGTACAATAGGGTTGGTACTTAAAGCCACTCTCCCCACCCTTTAAAAAAAGTCTAATATTCAACACATAAAGAACACACACACACACACAAAAAGTGCATCATCTTTCATTCCTTATACTATCACATTTTACAATTGTATTCCTTATCTTGCTTATTAGTTTTATTTTTCTCCGGGGTGCTAAGGAGCACCTTGTTGGCTTCTTTCCTATTGGCTTCCCATCTGTAGCAGTCCTTGCCAGTAACTGGAACATGAAAAGTGCTAAGTAATTCTGAAATAGCAGAGTCAAAATAGTGGTTCTAAAAGATTAGAGCACACCATGTTCTAAGTTTCTCCAAATGTGACTCTCAAGACACCTGAATCAGAGTCAGAAATGGCATTTGTTAAAAATGCAGGTTCCAGGTCACTATTTCAGAAGTTCTGAGCCAGAATTTTTGTTAATGGGAACATGGACTATGTATGCATTTTTCTTAAACTCTCAGGGTGATTTTCATTTACACCAAAGTTTAAGACTCTCTTTCCTTTCTCTTGTCAATTGCATCCAGAGGTTATCAAACCGTCTTCACTTCTCTAACATCTTTTCTTATTAATCAACTCTTCTCTGTTCCCTGCTTCTGACAAGGAATCATTTTTATATTGCTAGGGCTATGCACTAGCCTGCTTGGTTCCCAGTTCTGTATACCTTCAGTTAAATTCTATACATTACAGCCAGGGTAAAATGTCAAGCTCAGATCTCTCTCAACATAGCAAACAAATATCTTTTTCCCCCACAAAGATTCTCAGTTCTCAACAACAGACAAAGCAACTGCAAATTATAGTATGTGTGTATGTTTTTTTCCTTTCTGCAGAATACCATATTATTTATAAAGCATCATGAAACAGTAGTTGTAATTCCATCACAGGAACTAGGGGCAAGTTTCCTGGGAAAAAGTATTATGTTTTCCTTGAGTAATATAAAATGGCAATTTTGGGTACATATGTCTATTTAAAAGACAAGTGGCAAACTAAGTATAATAGGTGTTTCTAATTTTTTTCAATTAATAATAATAATACTTGTGCATTTACTTGTTTTCAGTTGGCTTAGCAAGCCCTCGAGATTTAAATACATACCAAGGAGAAATATTCTGAGAACATAAAATTTTATATCAATTTACTTAAATTAATTTGCATACTGGAAAAAGACCACCATTATTCTAATTTATCAGGGAACCCTGATAGCTGACAGACACCAGTCCTTTGTGGAAATATAGTTAAAAACCACTACCCTGCTGAGTAAAATCTAAACCCAACAGTTGTATTGAATGCTAATTTTGAATATTAATTAAGCAATGTGTACAAGATATAGGGTTATACAATGTTAAACTATTATTTTTGTTTTATCCTTACCAAAAAAAAAAAAGAAGCTTTGTTATTATTCCTGTTTTACAATTAAGGAAACTGAGACACAGGGTAACCAATATGGTGAAAATCCACATGAGTTGGGCAGTGAATCCAGACACTCTTGCAGCGGAGGTAAGTTATTCCCTGCTACATTTTGTCATCCCTTAATTAAAGGTTTACACGATTTGAATCTAGCTTATTATCTCAGTCAACTATTGCTAGAATAATGTTGCATAAACAATAACCAAAAAGATCTCAGTGTCATACAGCAAATAAGCATTTATTTCTCAGATGTCTTTGGTCAAGCTGGGATTGACTGATTTCGGCTGACCCTGTATGAACTTGATTCCAGGCCACAGGTTTAATTCAGTTTTACACCAAGCCCTTCTCATATTTCTGGGATCAGATCACTTTCTGGGTTATGTACAGCTCAAGTCTAAGATCAGAACTTCCTGGAGCAGAGTGGATGAGGGGAAGGAGAATGGTGACTAGGCCTATTAAAAAATGAAGAGCCAGGTGTGTTGTTTTTTTAAACAAACACACAAACAATGAAAACAGTTGGTTACCCCAAAGCCTGACCTCATGCCCTTGACAGGAATCTCATTGGAGACAGGTGTGTTACATAGCCACTTCTAGCTTAGAAATTTTAATATTTAGATATTTTTTCTCTAGCCAAATTGTGTTTATGTTAGCCAGGAAAAATAAGAATATTTACGTTGATAAGCACTTCATTTTCTTTTCATTCTAATAGAGAACAAGGCTCAATAAGTATTCCCTGGTGTCAACATTTTTTTGTTTGTCCAAGGAAGGATGTTGGCTCAGCTATAATGGTCACATTTGACAGAAGGAATCTCTTACACTCAAAGTAATAGACAACTTCCACATCAGGGGACTGTTTATACTCTGAAGTCCAAAAGGAACCAAATTAAATAATCTGGAAGAAATAATATGAACTGATCACAAAACCAGGAGATCAAGAGAATGTGTACTAAAAGCTAGAATGTGAAGGCAGTATTGGAATACCAGAGAGACAACTAAAGAGCCAGAACAAGAAGGGAACAGTGTTGTTGAGATCGGCACTGCATAATCAGGTAGGAACATGAATAAATTTTAGGATTAAATATCTGTAAGGAAACAATCTTACAAATGGGCTGTGGTTCCTGAGAGGAAAGAAACAACGTGTGTCCCCATTGCTCTGGATCTGTGCCTTTGGAAAATTTCCCAGCTGTAGTGCAGTGACCTAGAATTTAATCACAATATGGAAGTCTCTCATCTAAAGAAGCAGAGATCAGAGTTCTGGGCTTTTGAAGTGGTTGGAACCTGTGTGGCAGGGGATTAAAAGAAAGAGTGTTTGAAGGTCATAAAGTTCGCATGGGAGTTTGCCACAAGGCCTTGCTTGAGAGCTGGACAGTACAATCACAGACAAGGCCATTCAAGGCTTAGTGGTTCTCAGAGGGGAGAGCAGAATAGAGGTATTAAACACTAAGCAGAGCTGGGGCTTTAAATTATGGCCCAGACATGCTGAATGACTTCCTTAACACCTCCTAACAACATGGGAATCAAGCTGAATCACTGCTTTATGATAAAGGCCATACTCAGAGAAAGGCCAACTCTTGTCACACATTAACAAAGCTTAAAATCAAGTTTTAACAAGATTCTTAGAAGAGACAAAGTTAGGAGACTGAATCTAGCCAATTTAGAGGGGTGTGGAAAACAAAGAGAAACTTTTGAGTCTCAAGAACAGAAATATAAAAATATTCAAGAAAAATGAACAGAAGCACTATAAACTTATAAGATAATATTACACAATTTAATATATATGGATTTGAGTCCCCAAAGAAAACTCAGACTATAATGTGGCAATGAAATATTTTTGAAAAATGATAGCTGAAAAACTTTGACTTACAGTTCCACAAAGATCAGAAAGCAGTAAGCAAGATAAATACAAAGAAAATCATATTTAGGCATAAAAGAACCACAAATATCAGAGTCCAAAATAGAAAATCGTGAACTACAGGAAAAAAAAATGCATTACATACAGAAGAGCAATAATACAAATGAAGGCATACCTGTCATCAGAAGCAATGGAGACCTGAAGACAATGCAGTACCATTTTTAAGGTACTAAAATTATTTAGAATTATTGCTCTCGCAGAGTACTACTACCAAAATGGAACAGTGTTACATAAATGAGATTTTTAATTTATTGGGGTAGCATTGGTTAATAACACCATATAGACTTCAAG